AGCTCATCATATAGGAACACACACACACACACACACACACGCACACACACCATCCCCTTCCCCCTTCCTCCTTCTCTATTTCTAATTCAAATATTCTAACAGCCTGCTATATGCTATGTAATATTTTAGGTACTGAAAAATATGCCAGTGACTAAAATGGAATAATCTCAGCTTTTATGAAATTTCAGTCCTAGGAGGCTAGGTAGAAAAATACCCCAAACCTTGATGAATATATACAATGTCAAATAAGATAAATTCTATGGGAAAAGTGAATAGAAAAAACTAATGCTGACTGATTGGACGAAAATCATTTTATAAGACAGTCAGAGAAGGCTACTCAAATGACATGAGATATAAACTAGACCGTGGCATAGCTCCCTATCAGTGAGTTAGACTTGAAACTTTGAAGTTGTTTCAACTTCTTATTTTTCCTCAAATATATATTTAATGAATCCCCAATTTTGACAAAATGAGAGACTGAAATATTACCTCTGACTTGTATTCTTGATGGACCATTGGAAAAGAATGAGTTTTTTTTTCTTTGCCATCTCAAGAATGCAAATTACCCTTTTAAAAAATTTAATTTACTGTATGTGATAACACTTAGCATGATATCTACCTTCTTAAATTTTTTTTAAAGCTTTATTTATTTATTTTAGAGAGAGAGAGAGCACACACACAAGCAAGGGGAGGGGCAGAGGGAAAAAAATCTCAAGCCAACTCCCTATTGAGCCTACTTGGACTCAAACTTACCACCGGGAGATCATGACCTAAACAGAAACCAAGAATTGGACGCTTAACTGATTGAGCCACCCAGGAGCCCCTACCCTTTTAAATTTCTAAGTATATAATTCATTATTGTTGATTGTAGGTACAATGTTGTACAGCAGATCTCTAGAACTTACTCATCTTGTTTGGCTAAAACTTTATGTCTGTGATTAGTGATTCTCATTTTCCCTTCTCTCCAGCTCCTGACAACTGTTATTCTATTCTTTGATTCTACTGATTTGACTATTTTATATACCTTAAATAATTGAAATCATGCAGTATTTGATATTCTGTGACTAGCTTATTTCACTTAGCATAATGTCCTCAAGGTTTATCCATGTTGTAGCAAAAATTAAAAAAAGAACTACCAAATGATCCAGTAATCCTACTTCTAGGTATTTTTCCAAAAGAATTAAAATCAGGATCTCAAAAAAATATTAGCACTACTATGTTTATTGCAGTACTAGTCATAATAACCAAAATGTAGAAACAATCTAAATATCTACTGACAGATGAATGGATAAAGAAAACGTGGTATAAACATACAATGGAATAAGTAAACAAGTACTGAGTAGTACTCAGCCTTTAAAAAAATTCTGCAATATGCAAAAAAACCTGTACTCTCTGAAAGGTTAGTTGCAATGTGGAATTGGAAACCCCATCAACACATTCTTCATACTTTTGTAAATTAAAATCCATTTGTCTATCTTGCACTTTGAATGGATATTTTGCCTATGCATAATTTTTTAACATCATACTTCGGTCATTTGGGAAATGTTACTTTAAAGAGCTATTTAGATCTTCCAAACACTGATGCATGTCATTGTACAATACTGAAAGGTCACTTTTGTTAATATCACCATTAATATCATCAAAAAATCATTACATATTGGGCAATTTTTCTCAAAATTCTAATTTTGACTTAAAAGTTCAAAATCTAGGGCGCCTGGGTGGCTCAGTTGGTTAAGCAACTGCCTTCGGCTCAGGTCATGATCCTGGAGTCCCGGGATCAAGTCCCGCATTGGGCTCCCTGCTCAGCAGGGAGTCTGCTTCTCCCTCTGACCCTCCTCCCTCTCATGTGCTCTCTCTCTCGCTCTTTCTCTCAAATAAATAAATAAAATCTTTAAAAAAAAATAATAAAAGTTCAAAATCTATCATTGATGACAAATACTCTCAATTGTTTCCATCAATATGCTAGCCTCATTTCCTTTATTTTTGAGAAAATGGTCTGCCATATGTAATAACCATAGTTTACCAGTCTTTTTTTTTTCAAGAAAAAGTGTTTCACAAAAAAAACCCCACAAACTTGATTTAACTTGCAAGTCAATCACCCCATTTCTCTTCTTTAAAAGAATCAGCATAATACAGTATGCAGTAGAAGCACTTTATATGTGCCTTTTAACACAGAGAAAATTAAAAGGACATTTATATAAGGGTTAAAATTTAATAAAATTATAATCGTTACTGCTTCATCAAGGATCGTGGATATTCTTTAAAATTGGCATTGTTATTCCTGCACTACAGGATATGTCAGTAAAGAAAACAATAACCACCCACACAGTTTGTGGCCACTGTCTGTAATTATGCTAAAGCACTTGAAGTTTTACCCTCCTATTCTTTTTTCACCATCTGGGCTAACGTCAACACGATGAAAAAGGCAAATGTCTTATTATGATTATGAAAGTAGTTTGCACCTTGCGAATCTCATGAGTGGATCTTGCTACTGTCTCTGAAACAGAATCTTTGTCATGTCACTCCCCTGCTCAGAAGATTCCAACTGTTCATCATTGCCCACAGGGAATTTTGGAAAATCAAAGTTTTCAACCTGGAATTTAAAATTCACACAATCTTACCTTAATTTATCTTTTCATTTCTCATGTTCCTTCATGCACTCTGGCTCTAGACAAATGAAGCTATTTCTATTCCTATTATAAACCCGGGGAGTTTGCAGTTTCTTTCAACTACTTATACTGTTCTCTTTGCCTGAGTACCTTATCTTTTCTCACACTCTTTATATGAAGCCACTGTCTTACTTCAAGGTCCAGTTCAAATGAGGTCTAACTGGATATCATACATCCTTCTTTGGAATGCACATAGCACTTTGGACCCCTCCTATGCTACTAATTTTCTACCCCGTAATAACAGCTCTTGGGCCCTACGCCTAGCAGGATGATTTACATACAGTTGGTACCAAATAAATCCTTAAGAAACAAATGTTTGGTTGCATTGAGTCATTTGTTTACATGTTTCCCTGCAGTTACCATATGAGATTGTTGGTTGAAATTAGGGTTAATATCTTTGTTTTCTGAATAAACTATTTCTTGCTGTGAAAGTGATTACTGTACGAGGCAGTTCAACTCACCACCTTGATCTCATTAGCCAATCTGTTCTCCTTCACATCCTCAGACTTGTATAAAGATCTGCCAACCGAAAGTATTGCTAAAACACTTTGAACTGTGTAAAAGAGTATTGATTTTTTTAAGTTACGTTTGAAAGTTTACTGAGACAAAATTAACATTTAGTTGTTTTTGTTGACCATCCAAGTAAATTACTCAGAACAAAAGAATGACCCCCTACATATGCCAACTCACTATTTTCTTTCTGGTTTCAAACAACTATTTTAGGGACCATAAGGAAGTAGCATAGTTTGATTAGGAGTTTCCCATGCCTAAATTACTTTCTGTGGATGATTATTTAGCATGAGGAAGCTAAATATACTGCCTATAATGGCATTAGAGACTAAAGCTTGTCTTTGAGGGAGTCTCAGAGAGCTCATTTCTTTTTACAGAAGACCCTAAAAAAAAAAAAGCAAAAAAAAAATAAAACAACAAAAAAAACCCTTTAGAATATAAAAACAAAATGAAGTTTCTCTATTGGTCTGTCTAAACTGGGATGCAATTTCACATATCTTGTCTTCCTTACACATGGCTCTGTCCAGCCAAATCTGCTCCACACCAGCTCTTTCTAGACACTAAACAGCCTCTTTCCTACTGTACCAGCTTGCCTCCAGGATAACTTGTTTGGGACAATTGCCCTTGCTTGCTGCTTATGAATCTAGAGCTTCAGCTTCCTTTATCTGCCCACTTGACTTAGTCCAAAAGCCAGATCAAGTGTTTTCTCTCTCTCTCTACCTCCATGGTAGTTGTACATTGTAACAATAGTCTTGCCCCTCAAGTTCCATTCACTTTTGACTCCCACTCTGGCCGCAGACTTTAAGTGTATATTTCAATAACTTCTCATTCAGAGGAAGAAAAGAAAAGGTGAAATCCTGCTTTTCTTAGATAGCTCTCCTGTATAAATATTAATTTTCCATTTACTGAAAGATGCTGACTTCTTTTCTTCTTTTTTTTTTTTTTTTTTAAGATTTTATTTATTTGACAGAGAGAGAGACACAGCCAGAGAGGGAACACAAGCAGGGGGAGTGGGAGAGGGAGAAGCAGGCTTCCTGCTGAGCAGGGAACCCGACGCGGGCCTCGATCCCAGGACCCTGAGAGCATGACCTCAGCCGAAGGCAGACACCTAATGACTGAGCCACCCAGGCGCCCTTAGATGTTGACTTCTTATTACAAAATATGTTAGCTAATTCTATCCTGAATTCACTGATAGTATGTGCAAGAGTTTCCTCCTCCACAAACTGTTCCACATGGATTTTTCTTTGTACTCTGATTTTCTCTGAATAGCTGACATTTCTATTTAAAATATCGGTTTGTTCATTTTGGGATTTGGAACATAGAGGCAGATGCTGTTAACTAAAATAGTTAATGATGAAATCAAGACAGATAACAGCCTTGGTACTTTCCCTCACAGATACTGTAGTTCAGGTCTTTTCCTAACCAGTAACAATTTCAGTTTTTGTTGAAAGAGCCCTGAATAATTTGAGAGAAGGTGAGGGGCTATCTAATGGAGTGGAACCAAAATGAAATGTTGAACTAATCCAGGAGCTGCCCATTCCAAGGAAAGAATGTATATGCATGTCCTTTGAAGTTTCTATATGCCATGTCATGCTTTTTATTAACCTATTACATTTTCTTACATTATTTGATGAATATTCCATGTGAATAAACTTCAGTAGACTTTTTGGTGAGGTGGAATCGTGCAATGCGTAACTCAAACTGTTGAGTTAAGATGACCCTCATCATCCCACCCTCTGTGAAATGTACAAGCTTTTTAAAAAATTTGATTTCTTTGAATGCCCTTTTATGCTATAAATATTTTTATTATGTTTTACCTAGTTGGGTACACAATGAATGATCTCATTTTTGAATGGCAAGATGAGGCACCTGTACAAGTGGCCGAAGGACTCACTTTGCCCCAGTTTCTGCTGAAAGAAGAGAAAGATTTACGGTACTGCACTAAACATTACAACACAGGTAGGGGTCAAGCATTCTTTGTTACACTTATGACTTCTGGTTTTATGATATTCAGTGTTTCTTAATTATAGTGGTAGGTTAATTATTTTAACTATTTATAGCTTAGTGTTTTTCATAGTCATAGAGCAGAAAATGAATGCATATGAAATTTATGAATACTTGGACTCAATGCATATTGTGATATAATTGATTTGTATAGGATCAAAGAAATGCTTGGTATTCAATTACATCTTTTTTTTTTTTGCCAAAAGCCCATAGTTACATACTAATGATGCTTCCAAAAAAGTTCCTTTAATTTCTATGTGAGCAATAAAATGTACTTTTTAGCTCCTCTTGGGCAATATACATCGTGTTTGATAACAAAATGAAAGAAATTGCTTTTTTTTAAGGCTTCATTTGCCTAAACCTCTCTTTGGCTACAATTTCATGCATTTCAAGTTATTGTTATTTAAGTACCTACTACTCACACCAACACGGTAGCTTTTACCTTTGAGACTAGATAGAAGATATTGTTGTCAAGGACTGATAGACTTAACGTGGTATTTGCACATTCATGGGATCTGTTCACTTCTCTCAACCAGCACAGGCTATTCTCATAATATCTATTCTCGCTGCCTAACCTGTTCCTACAAATTCTGTTAAACCACCCACAAATGAGTCATCACTTCAATGTGGTTAGTCCACAGCCTCCCACTAGCATCAACTGCTGTTCGTATTATTTCCTTACAGTAACTATGATTCTTCTTTGGCTCATCATTTTCCAGGACTGTGACCTGACCTTTCACTATGCCAAGTCTTTAATCTCTTTTATCTCTTTAATCAATTCACACTATCTGGTGAAAAAGTCACTGCCATTTTCTTAACCCAGAGGTGAGGTTGATATTTAATTTGATGGGTAGCTCAAGGTTCACATCTCAACACAAAGATAAAGGGCAAGCAGGTCAATACCAATGTCCTTGCTCCACTCTCTAGGGGCAGTTACAATGACAAGCAAATTTTAGTGAGATGCTAAGAGGCCTCTAGAAGTGGTTTAAGTTGGTGGACTGGTTTCCTAGGGCTGCTGCAACAAAGTACCACAGACTTGGTGGTATCCCTTGCCCATCTCCCCGAGACACTCTTCTCCCTCGTCCCCTTACCCTGTAATTTGGCCACAGTGGTTGGTTTTCTTACATATGCCACACTGATTCCTGCTTCAGGGCCTTTGTACTTGTTCATCTTGTAACTAAAGATTTTTTTTTTTTAAGATTTTATTTATTTGACAGAGAGAGAGACACAGCGAGAGAGGGAACACAAGCAGGGGGAGTGGGAGAGGAAGAAGCAGGCTTCCCATGGAGCAGGGAGCCCGATGGGGGGCTCGATCCCAGGACCCTGGGATAATGACCTGAGCTGAAGGCAGACGCTTAACGACTGAGTCACCCAGCCACCCTAAAGAATTTTTTAAAACAACTCTATTGAGATTTAATTTAGGTACTATAAAACTCACTTGTTTAAGGAATACAGCTCAATGTTTTTAGTATATTTACAGAGGTGTGCAAAAACCACCACCATATTTTATCTCCTGAATAAAAAAAAAAAAAAAATAGCCTTATATCCATTAGCAGTCTCCCCATCCAGCAACTCCAGACAATCACTAATCAACTTTCTGTCTCTATAGCTTTATATTTTTGGGATGCTTTATATAAATGGAATCACATGTGGCCTTTGTGATAGTCTTCTTTCAATGAGAAGAATGTTTTTGAGATTCCTCCCTCTGGTAGCATATTTCGATACTTCGTTCCTTTTATTGCCAAATAATACTCTATTGTATGGATATACCTCATTTTGTTTATTCATTCGTCAGTTGCTAGACATTTGGGGTATTTCCACCTTTGGACCACTTATGAACACTCACGTGCAAGTTTTGGGGTGGATATATGTCATATCTCTTGGGTATAGAATTAGGAGTGGGAAGCTGGATCATATGGTGTATCTGTGCCACCAAACTGTTTTTCAAAGTAACCACACCTTTTTACAGTCCTTCCAGCAGTGAATGAGGATTCCAGCTTCTCCACATCCTAACCAACGCTTGTCATTGTCCGTCTTCTTTATTATGGCCATTTTAGGGAGTGAAGTACTATCTCATTGTGGTTTTGATTTGCATTTCCCTAATGCGTAAGGATGAGCATCTTTTCATGTGCTTATTGATATTTGCCTATCTTCTTTGGAAAAAGATGTTTATTCGATTCCCTTGCCCATTTTCTAAGTCAGTTATTTCTCTTATTGTTGATTTACATATGCTTTTCCCCAGTTGGTATGTTGTCTTTTCACTTTCTTAATGATGTTATTTGAAGCACAAAAACTTTTAATTTTGAGTAAGCCCAATTAATCACTTTCTTTTTCTTTTGTTACTTGTGATTTTGGTATCGTATTTAAAAAAATTGTTGCCTAACCTAAGGTCATAGAGATGTACTCTTATGCCTTCTAAGAATTTTTAGTTTAGCATTTAAATGTAGGTCTACGATCCATTTTCAATAGTATGAGATAGGGTAGAAGTTCATTCTTTTGCATGTGAATACCAAGTTCGCCCTGTACCATCTATTGAGGAGACCATTATTTCCCTATAGAATAGCCTTAGTTCTTTGTTGAAAATCAGCTGACCATAAATCATTATTTCTGGACTTCCAATTCCATTCCACTGATCTGCATATCTATACTTATGACATTATCCTATTTTGTTGTTATTTATAGCAAGTCTTGAAATGGGGAAATGTGAGTCCACCAAATTTGTTCATTTTACCCTGAAGGCTATATTGGTTATTCTAGGTCTCTTGAATTTCCATAATAATTTTAAGATTAGCTTGTACATTTCTGCATGAAAGCCAGTTGAAATTTTGATAGAGATTGCAATGAATTTGTAGAGCAATATGGGAAGTATTCTGATCTAGCCATATTTAGTCTTCTAATTAATGACTACAGAATGATTTTCCATTTTGTTCCAATTTTTTAATTTTGTTCAGCTGTGTTTTGTATTTTTTAGTGTAGAAGCCTTACACTTCTTTTGTTAAATTTATTTATAAGGATTTTATTTTATTTGGTTCTATCATAAATGGAATTGTTTGCTCAATTATTTTGATTATTGCTAGTGTATAGAAACACAGTTGATTTTTGTATACCGATAGTGTATCCTATAACTTTGCTGAACCCAGCAGTTCAACTAGATTTTTAGTGAATTCTCTAGGATTTTCTTTATGCAAGGTAATATCTTCTCCTTATAGAGATAGTTTTGCTACTTCCTTCTCAATCTAAATACCTTTTCCTTAATTGTTGCCTTAATTATCCTGGCTGGAAGCTCTCAGTACAATGTTTAATGGATGTGGCAAGAGCAAACATTCTTGCCTTGTTCCAGAATTTAGTAGGAAAGCATTCAGCTTTTCACCATTAAGTATGGTATCAGCTATAAGTTCTTCATAAATGCCCTTTATCAAGTTGAGGAAATTATCTTCTGTTTCTAGTTTGTTGAGTGTGTTTGTTATGAAAGATTATTGGATTTTTGACAGTTTTACTTCTATTGAGATGATCATATAGTTTTTGTTTTTTTTCTATTTATATAGTGTGTTACATTGACTTGTATTACATTAAGCCAAACTTGCTTGCATTCCATGATAAATTCTGGTTGGTTATGATGTATAACTCTTTCCATATGTTGCGGGATTCAGTTTGCTAGTATTTTTCTGGGGATTTTACATTTATATTCACAAGAGACATTGTCTATATACATTTTTTCCTGTGATGTCTTTGTCTGGTTTTACTATCAGGGTAATACTGAGCTAATTGAATGAGTTAGGAATTATTCCTTGCTGTATAGTTCCTGGAAGATTTTAGAAGAAGGATTGTTATTAATTCTTCTTTAGATATTTAACAGAGGTCTTCAGTTTTCCCTCGTGCGAAGTTTTAAGATTACTAATTTAACCTCTTTACTTTTTATAGGTCTATTCAGATTTTCTATTTCTTCTTGAATCAGTTTCAGTAATATGTGTCATTCTATATATTTGTCCATTTCATCTAAGACATTCCACTTGTTGGTATACAGTTATTCATAATACTTCTTTATCATCCTTTAATTTCTCTGAATAGTAATGTCCCCTCTTTCATACCTGATTTTAATAATTTGATTCTCCTTTCTTTTTTGCTTCATCCATCTGAGCCAGGATACTTCTTTCTTAAAGGTTTTATTTATTTATTTTAGAGAGAGGCACAGCAAGCGGGGGGTGGGGGAGGGACAGGGAAAGAGAGGAAGAGAATCTCAAGGAGACTCTGTGCTGAGCTGGGACTGGACTTGGGGCTGGATCTCATGACCCTGAGATCATGACCTGAGCCAAAACCGAGAGTCCGAAGCTTGACCAACTGAGCCACCCAGGCGCCCCACAGCCAGGATACTTTTAATTGAAAATTGTGGACAACCAAAAATAAGTAGCTCGAATGGTATAAAATTGTCATCTGGTCCCCATTTTTATGTTGGATTATTTGTCCTTTTATCAGTGAATTGTAATATGGTTTATATTGTCTCTGGTATTTTTTTTTTTGAAGGAGAATTGAGACTAGAATGCAGATTTTTTTAATTTGTAACTAGAATATGAATCAATAAATCAAAATAAATTTTGAATCACCTGAAAGAAATAAACTTTAAGTCTGAAAAGTAAAATATATAATTAAATAAATTAAAATAAAGTAAAATGACAGTTAAAATATAAACATGCTTGAAGAAGTTCCAGTCTTGTTGTACCAGTGTTACCATGTCAGAGCTTGTGTCACTTGCTCATTTTTCTCTCTAGAGCCACACATACACATGTGCTATATATTTATTTATATAAATGTATATACAATATACCATTATTTTTCCTCCCAGTGATAGTTATGAAAACACTCTTTATAAGGCACAAGAAGAATTTTTTTTTTTTTTTTGAGAATCACATGAACCTTACAGAATGTAGTCAAAGTACCCAAATGGTTAGTAATTATTACTAATTTCATCATGAGATTGCTTGGATAATTTATTTTTTTATTTTTTTGAAGATTTACGTATTTATTTATTTGAGAGAGAGCACACACACACATGTCCATGAGCCAGCTACAGCGGGAGGTTGGAGGGGGTGTAGGGGCAGAGGGAGAGGCAGTGAGACTCTTAAGCAGACTCCACTCTGAGTGCAGAACCTGATGGAGGGGGGCTTAATCCCATGACCCTGAGGGCATGACCTGAGCTGAAACCAAGACTTGGATGCTCAACCGACTGTGCCACCCAGGTGTGCTGGGAATGGCCAGCAATCCCTGTACCGATGGATGAAAGATTATTCCAGACTTTTCTGTGAAAGAGAGGAGAAGGCAAGGGGGGGTCAACGTTCAGAGACAAAGACCCTTTGCTCTTCTTTGCTCCCACCTTTATTGGTCCTTCAGGATAATCATAAATCTTTATCACTGTTTCTCAAGCACGTAAAGTGTGACAAGGGGTCTTACTGGAACTAAGAAGATCTGTTTACGGGAAAGATACGATATGCTAATCTGCGTGTTCAATGAGTTCTGCTAAACATAGCCTAAGGGACAATGCATACATCTCTTAGATCATAGGACGGCTGTTTGGGCTAAGAAAGCTTCAGGAAAAGCCACTCCCCACTACATTCCTATGGCAGAGTGGTCATGCAGGCCTTGGCATTCCAAAGGCCTACGCCCTTCTCCAAAACCTTCCCTTGCCCTCAGTGGCCTCTGTTTTACCTTTTAGCAAGCCAGGTATTAGGAATGATTTCATGCTCTATATTAACCCCAACACAGGTGCCTGAGATTACTTGGATAATTTAACAGTGATATCATGAAAATAGTTCAGTTATTCTTGCCCTATTTCATTTCATTATTTAAAAAATTTTGTATTTTAATAGAATCTTAAAAATCTAAAGTATATTCATATATTTTAAGAATTTTTAGGCATTCTGTATGTAGTTGATAAATTGATAAAAGGATCATAGATAGCTTGCATGTATGTTTCTGATCCCTAAACACTTAAGGGTAGAATCCAACTTTCCCAGAGTTTCTGAAACTTTGTTAGGAATTTTAAGCCCTGGAATCTCATCCATCCCTTTATCCAGTGACTGTGCCCATGAATCACAGTAGCAGGTGGCTCAAGCCACAAGCCTGGAAGTTTTGCACTGAAACCTATCTAAAAATACAGTAGCAAGTTTCCTGGATGTGCTCTTTGATTCTCTTTCACAATTGGATCAGAGAATGTCACCTAAAAAAAAGATCAGCATGTTAATTCACTGACCTTATTTTTCCTAACATAGTTAGAATAAGGAGAGAATAAAACCAAGATTTTGGTTGTTCAGATAAACAATTATTTTAAGGAGAAATACCATGGTCATGGTAGTAGGGAGTATAATCAGAGCATAAGCAGAGATATCAACAAAATGGTTAATTAAGACATAATTTATTCCTCTATTAATTACTTACCATAATAGAGACACAGGGCATGAATATATAGAACACATATATCTCAGGTTTTTTATTAGTAAGTGCGTTTTTAAATTATTTTCAAATTTATTGATAGAGAATAACATATTTTGCTCTTTTCTGCATTAATAGTTTCCAAATTATTAATGCATAAATTAACTTACATAAATTACATTTAAGGAATTATTCATCTTCAGTTGAATTTATCCTTTAGCACTTACTTTAAAGCAAATGTAAAGGCCTCTGAAACAAATAACACCTGGCTCTCAATAAGTGCTAAAAAGTACCGGACAGAATCAATGAGTAAGGAAGGTCTTCATATAGTAGATAGGCATTTCTCCTGTCTATCTCAGAAACAGTTGCTGGAATCAAGTGAAATGATATATCTTTGAGTACTTTCAAAGTATGAAACGCTAACCAAATGTGAAGTAATAAATTTTTGTTTTAATTTGTTTATTTGTCAGAGAGAGAAAGAGAGAGAGAGGGAACACAAGCAGGGGGAGTGGGAGAGGGAGAAGCAGACTCCCCGCCGGGCAGGGAGCCCGATGCGGGGTGGGATCATGACCTGAGCTGAAGGCAGAGGCTTAACCGACTGAGCCACCCAGGCGTCCCCAAATGTGAAGTAATAAGATGACATACTATTTCCTGGAAAGTGTACTCTCGTGTTGCTTCCAGATGCCAGCAGAAAGATAGGAAAAATATTTTTCAGAAACCAATTTGCATATGTGATTTAGGATCCCTTTACATTGTAATGGAAAATTTTAGGACAAAATATGGGGGGAAAATGTGACATTTGATGTCATCACAAAGACCTATTTTTACCTATTGCTGCATTTATTTTACAACCAATTAGGAAAATTTACGTGTATAGAAGTGCGATTCCATCTCGAACGACAAATGGGATACTACCTGATCCAGATGTACATTCCCAGTCTCCTGATCGTTATTCTATCCTGGGTTTCATTCTGGATCAATATGGATGCTGCACCAGCAAGGGTAGCCTTGGGAATAACTACTGTGCTGACTATGACCACACAGAGCTCAGGATCACGAGCTTCCTTACCAAAGGTAAGTGCACTAAAGGGACGTGCACATATATTTGCACAAATATTTATAGATATATAATATTTTTACATAGAAAATTCATATATATGTAATTATCAACTTTTGTCATATTGTATGGATGCACTATAGTAATATACTTACTATTAGGACTAACACAATAATGAACATTTATATGATGAATGTTATTTATATTCATGAATATATATGTGTGTGTGTATAGCTTTACATATATTTTTCGTTTTTTCCTTAGTATCAATTCTTAGAACTGGAGTCACTACACTGATGGCTGCATGTATTGATATGTACCGCCAAATATCCCTCCAGAAAAATTTACAGCAGTTACACTCCCACAAGTATTGTATGAGGGTGTCCATAGTACTGTATATAGCATTTATTATTTTTGTGTTTGTTTTTCTTCCCCCTTTTGGCTTTTAAGTTGCTATAGATCAATAAAAAGAAAAAGTTATCTAATATCATGATTTTAGTCCATGCGGATCTGCCAGAATTAAAATAAACTGTTCTTCTATGAGGTTTGTAAAAAGCCCCGATATTTCTTTTTACAACATATACTGAAATAAAACATAGGAAACTCTTTTAATCCATTTAGCAAATAGCAATAGAAAATTATTTTCCTCTCCTAAATGACTTCTAAAAAAAATTTCTACTATCCAAATTAAGAAATCCTGTCTAGCTTCCAACAACCTTCACTACTACTTTCATTACAATGATGTAGATATAGTAAAATTATATTAACTTTTCTTGGGCATTTGATGCTATCTACCTGTAATGCCAAGCAAATTATAAATCTATTATCATGGCTTCCCTAACTCTTACCATGAATTGCATTGTATGATCCAATTTATTAGATTAAAATACCTAAATAAATAAAAGTTGATGGCAGGACATTTTATCACTAAAAAAGTTACTTCAAATAGGAAGACTTGATCTTTAACAATGCTCACACTGCCTAGATAAAATTTAATGGCTGTCTTACAAAATAAGGTCTACTTTTATTAATACTTAATTGAATTTTCAAAATGATCCATATCAACTAGTGTTTTATAAAATATTGTTCAAGTGAAAATTACAGATCTGCTTATAAGATTAAACTAATAAATCTCAATGCCTATTTATATATGTATAAATGTCTCAAAGACTCTCAGTAATAGTTGAAGTCCCATAGTCAATTTGTAAAGGAAATTGCCAGTTTACTCATTGATTTTCCTCAAATGCTAAACAGAAATGAAAGCTCATTCTTCTGTAAGTTGTCAACAAAAGAAGAGAACAAAATGCTCCGTTTCAGAAAGCTACAGCTCCTATGAGACACAGTATAAAGACATTTGAATACAAACATTAAGGCAGAATTGGGAGAGCATGGAGGTCAAAGCGGAGGAAGCAGAAATAAAGAAAGCAACAAATTAAAAGAAAAAAAACAAAAACAAGATGAAGACACAAGTTTTTGTTTTTTAAAGGAAAGAAAATCATTTTCTTAAGACATAGGAAAAATTTTTTAAAAATCTTTAATTTCACTGTGATCTCAGGGAAGGAATAAATTTTCAACCATGAGCTCAATTATATACATAAATGCACACAAAACCTCTACATCTCTCAGATCATAGAGACAATGACCTCTGGAAATGTGATAACAGATTTATTTCCGACCCACAAAAATAACTGATTAACAAAATGGTATCTTAAGAGAGAGTGACAATATCATTTTAGGTTTTTTTTTAAAGATTTTTTATTTATTCATTTGAGAGAGAGAGAGAGACAGAGACATCATAAGCAGGGGGAGAGGCAGAGAGAGAGGGAGAAGTAGGCTCCGCACTAAGCTGGGAGACCAATGTGGGACTCGATCCCAGGACCTGGAGATCATGACCTGAGCCAGAGGCAGATGCCTAATCATCTGAGCCAGGTTTTGTGATAGTTAGGGAATGGGCGGTTAAGCATGTCCAGCTACCTACGTTAGAATTCGGGAAGGTGGACACTGAAGACCCAGGATAAACAACAAGAATTAATTTATTGGAAAGGATAATTCCAAAAAGTAGAAAATCTCTTGAAAAATGCAATTCTGATTCTGTGATTTGGGGGGGCTAGAAAGGCAAGAGCCGAGGACCCACACTTGCCTTTGGGAACAGATGGCTAAATCACACACCTTAAGACCTGATATATTCTCAACCTCACAAAGGAACCCTCGGATGCCTAAAAGTCTTGCCACTGAAATATCCACCATTCTCTTACTGACAAAATCTAAGAAGTAGGAAAACAAAATTAAAATCAGGAAACCAATAGAGGATTATCAGACAGAGAAGGAAGAAACAATAAAGCATTAATTTATTATAATTGCTTAGTATTTTGTCCAGGCTGTGTGCCAATACATCTCCTGCAGGATACAAAGGAGTTTGGAAATCAGTCAAGTAAGACTCAGGGTAGACAATGTCAAAGGATATACCTTAGCCAGCACCTTGAGAACTACAGAGCTCAGATTCCTCTCTGATATTTCTTGTTGCATTGTCCTCTACAGTGTCATAATAAATCAAGCATGTAATGGCCCAAAGCAAGAAGATTCCTGTGATTCATTTCTTGGAATATGGAGCTATTTGGTGTTTCTGTGGTGCCTGCATTAGGTGACCAGAAGGGGGTGACAAGACATTCTATTGACAGCGATTTTTCTAAGTTGTAGTTAGAGACACCCCCTAACACTGTGCTTGGAGAAGAATGAGTGAGAAAAAATGGTGATGATCATGGAGCCATGTCAGTGGAGGGTTTTATAAACCTTGATAAAGATCAGGTTTATTTTGAGTGGATTTTGGAAGGACTTTAATGAGAAGAGTAATCATTCTGACTTTGATTTGAAGATCAGATAGAAGGTGGGCGGGGGGGATGTGGAAGCATAGAAACTGCCAAGCAAACTATTGCAGTCTAGAGCAGATGATGGTCTGGCTAGATTCATAGCAGTAAAGGTGGAGAGTAGGAGATGGATTTAGAAAGAGGTGGGTGTTTTAAAGAAAATGCATTTGGAAGTGAAAAAGACAGAATTTGCTCATGAACTGGACCTTGAGGAGTAAGAGAAAAGCAGGAGTCGATGGCAGCATTCAGGTAACCAGGCAAGTAGTGGTAATAGTTAATTAATGAGGAAGATTGGGGGAGGTAACTAATCTATGGTTGAACATGTTAACTTTGAGATGTTTATAAGACAGCCACATGGGATTGTCAAAAAGTCAGAACCTGGGGCGCCTGGGTGGCTCAGTCGCTTAAGTGGCTGCCTTCGGCTTAGGTTATGAGCCCAGGGTCCTGGGATCGAACGCTGCGTCGGGCTCCCTGCCAGCGAGAGCCTGCTTCTCCCTCTCCCTTTGTCTGCCGCTCTGCCTACTTGTGCTCTCTCTGTCTCTCTGTCAAACAAATAAATAAAATCTTAAAAACAAAAGTCAAAACTTCCAAAGTTCTGACAGGGGACACTCAGGCCTCAGATTTCAGGGAGTAAAACTATAGATGGATAAGGAAGCAGAATAGAGATGATTTCTCTGAGAATGAAAGAAAGCCGAGAAAGAAGGGAAAAGAAGATGCTATTTGTGGCTGGCCCTCCTCCTCCAGTTGGAAATGGACCTGAATATTCAAAGTCTTCTCTCTCCTTCCTTTTCCCACAGCCATCTCCCACACCGCCCCCCACACACAGAATAGGTTAGACAGTTGAATTAAAGGCAAGACCCATTCACCCTAAACCTTTACTCTCAAACTCTTGAGATCTCAACATTCTGTGATTTTTATTTTTATTTTTTTTAGATGTGGAAAAGCAATCCTCCCTGGGAGACTTAGGTTTAATCAGGGGTGAAAGAGAGGATAATAATAGTCATTTAATAATTTTTGACTATACATTTGATTTATACTAATACCTAGTTAAAAATCTTGGCATTGAGAGAATTATATTTTTTATTAAGTATAGAAATGGGTCAGAATACTGAAAATCAGTAGAAAGAATAAAATATAATTTTAATTTGAAAGCTATGGGTTCTAGCAAGACTCCACACTAAGGAACTCTGAGAAGATCTCAGTTATGCAGCATTATGATATATACTTTACCCTTCCTTTCCCAAAGAGCAGTTATTTCTTATTGGAGACCTACTCTGTTCATTCTCTTTCACAGGGACCAGCTAAGGTGCAGCTTTTTGTTTTTTAAGGTCCAGCTTTTTACATGTTTTTTGTTTCATATCATCTGCTGAAGTACGCAAATATCACCATGTGCACACTAGTTTAGTCTTTTAAAAAATGAGTTTCAAATCTATTGTCATACCAGAGATCTTAGAACATAATATATTAAACAGACATATGTGTGTGCACACACCCCCCCACACACACACCCAGACACAAGCTTGGCAGGGGCCAGAGAATCTCTAGATTCCAAGTTCATCCAAACCCTAGCTCTTTTTCTTGTTGTTGTTAAGATTTATTTATTTATTTATTTATTTATTTATTTGAGAGAAAGAGAGCAGGTGTGCACCTGAGCTGGGGGTCGGGGGTGGGGTGGGGAGGGGAGCAGAGGGAGAGGGACAAGCAGACTCCATGCTAAGCATGGAGCCCTGTGTGGGTCTCAATCTTACAACCCTGAGATCATGACCTGAGCTGCAACCAAGAGTCGGGTGCTTAGTGGACTGAGCCACCCAGGTGCCCCCAAACCCTAAGTCTTAACACAATAGAGTCTTGGGGCCCAGGATTGTTTCAGTATAGTTAGGTTGCCCTTATTCTGCATAACAAATAATCCCAAGTCTCAATGGTTTACCACATTTATTTTTGCTCACAGACTTGTGAGTTGCCTGACTCTTCCAGGTTTGTCTGAGACTGGCTGATTTGGATGGGCTTAGATCTAGGCTGTGGAGTGGGAGCACATCTGTTCCCCGTGTCTCCCACTGTGGAACTGTAGGTACAGTAGCATACTCTTTTCATGGAGGAGTGCAGGAAAATAGGAAGGCAAACAGAAGCATGCAATGCTTTTGCTCAGAATTGGC